TTATAATAGTTTCAACGATTAAACGTTCATTTTACTGGTAATTTAATTCTCAAATCTTTTTACTCGTGAAAGAAAAATGTAGTAGAACTTGGATATAAGTGACTTCTTTCGTAAAAATAAATAGAACATATAGTAAAAATACTTTTCACGAAAGATATTGAAAATGTTCTAAACTTTCTTTTCAAAAGTTTTTTTTACATCGAAAAACTTTCTTGTACTTACATTTCAAATGAAAAGCAATAATGTACTAATTAATTCGAATATTCTTTGTATACAAATTTCGTTCGCTACATACTTGGATCTGTTTACTATAATTTTTACGTTGAACAAATTTCAAAAAGGAATTTCCTTCAAATGAACATCCAAAAAAAAGGACAGGGACAAACAAGCACGCGATGACTTTTCGCGGATGTATATATATTGTACCCAGCGTTGTAGGAACTGCGTCTAACCCCCCCTGGAAGAAGGCCACCCAGAGTCCCACTGGGAGGGCGTACCGACTTGGGGGCGACTGCCGTAGCTGGTCCCAAGCCCAGTTGAGAGAAGTAGAGGGGCCTAAGCTAACCTAACCTTATTACCACCGGCCCACCCAACGCCGGGCGCAGGACGCCTATGTCGCAAGACGGATTCCCTGCGCCCAGGCTGAGGCACTCCAACTCGGCGGTGGTTTCGGACCCTAAAAAAAAAAAAAAGTTTAAGTTGTTACAAACCATTCAGGCTGCACTATCTTAGGTCAGTTTAAGTCTAGGTTACAATTGTTAGCTCCAGATCATGTCTACGTTAATTTGGACCAAGTTCAGGCTAGACTTCAGCTCTTCGGAACTTCCTAGAGCTAAATTAAACTGTTACCGCTAACTTTCAGCATCGTATTTAGGTTAAGATATCACATTATTCACTGTGTTAAGTTTGTCTAGGTTTAGATTAGATCCAACTTAATTTTAGCAAATCTTACGTCGAAGTATAGTGCTTGATTAAAGCGTTACACCTAAATTCGATCGTTGTTTATATGTTGTAGCGTTACGTCGAGTCAAGGTATTAGCTTGAACAATTTTTGCCCCCAAACAATTCCACATTTCTCCTCTTCCCTCCCTCGTTCTTCAGCAAAGGCCAGGCGTTGCCTGGTCTGAGAGGTCCAGAACGCTTCTCGAAAGGTTTGCAATAAACGCGAGCCTGCGGGAAGCACAGAGGAACGCGCAATTTGGCTTCCTCGAATAATTGACGCAATTTCCGCGCTACGACCGGCATGGCTGCCGCCGATGACTCTGTGAATGCGGATCGTAGCGCGGCTAACGGACCGGTAGCAATCCTGACCGGTGGACGTTAATGTTTAAGCACGCTCGAACGATTTCGAGTACGCTTACTGTATCTGAATCGAAAATGTCCGTCTCCAGTGGAATTACTGCGGCGTCCTCGCGACACCGGACATTAGGAAACTCGAATTAGTCTCGGGCGAGGCGAGTTTGAGCACCCTGACAATTATTCATTTACCTCCGCTGGCTGCAATTCAGGCATTCAAGACTGTCTCGATCATTGTGGCATTCGTTTAATTTATCATTTTCTCCCTTGTGTATTCTGAGGGGGTGGTGGAGTGTTCACGACGTCTGCGCAAATTTTCACGAAGAAATTTGGAATTTGAAGAAAATTGCTCGAGTCTGAAGAGAGTAGTTATGCATGGAACCAGTGATTGTGTGTAAGGTTAGACATCGGCAGCTCTGGTATCTTAGGAATTAGTGGAGCAATTGACTTGATATTTCAACTACATATTCTACATGCATCCTTTTATTGCCGACGTGAAAATTGCCAAGGTATCTGTTGTAATTTTTGTTTTTTTGTTTTTTTCAATCTGCATATTGAAATTGATTGCTGGAAATCACACTCTGAAGACTGTAATTTTTTCAATAGCAGCTATTTCCTCGCAAATAAATTCCTGAATATTCCCCAATTGTTGATGAACGTAGCTGCAAAGTTTGGGATTCGAATACCTTGTAGTTTCTTCGAAAGAAATTCGAGAGTGTGAGCAATTTTTTTACCGAAAATGTTCCCAAGCATTTCCCCTGAAAGTAAATGGCAAAGAATCGGCAGTAAATGTTCGTAAAAATTGGTAATCGGCTAGAAACGCAATATCGAACGCGGGAAGAGGGGTTCATTAGCCGATTTCACACGGCAAAACCGAGAGTGCCGCCGCGAGACCGCGCCTCACCCTGCGCCGCGCGATTGCCCCTGAACAATGGCAGCCGCGAGCGACACGCGTGGAAATGGAGATACATCCCGGCCCCTGTGCGGAACAATTGGAGGACCGTTAATGAAAACGACCGCGCCGAGCTCTAATTCGATTAATAACAATCATCCGCAACTCTCCTCGATGCTCTCTAACATCCTGATGGAGAACTTCGATTCCCCGTCTGATCCTGCATCTTAAATTTATGGCGCATAAATTCGCTCAGGCACGGTCTTATCTTGTCCCTTAGGGGGTTCCAACTGGGTCACCCAAATGTTCCCTTCAGCATGACCCAATTTCGCAATGTATCTCGGTATCTACGCCATTTATCTCGTCGGCAAAGTTTCGTCGCTTTATTGTCCTTTTTTCGAAATGAAAATTCTCACGCGGTAGAGTTGCAGTTCGAAAATTGGTAGATTTAACAGTCCTGGCCAGGGGAAAATCGATAGCAGAGAAGGGGCGTAAATCCAGAGGAGCGTCGTACTTAGCCCTGAAGTAGCCTGCAGCGAACAGCCTCGATCCTCACGACAATGACGTTAACACGCACGCTTAGCTGCACACCTCTGCCACTAGCCTGGGCGCAAAGTGCATCTGCAGGTTGTTGCTGCTACGTTGGTACGCGTCTACACGTTGAATTCTGAACACGAATGCATCCTAGCTGGGGGAATTTCGTGCGACGCGTCAGTCGAAAATGATTGCATTAGCGAAATAATTGGAGCTGTCTAGCCCTCTCCGTTGGGCCGATATTAACGTGGCTGGGATATTGTTCCTCTGCTAGAACGTTGTTAAATTCTATCTATGAAATTTCACGTCCACGAACTTCCATGTGGTTAGAATGTCGTGTGCTTGGCTCTGGGTTCAGTCCAGGTTAGGATTAGCCATTCATTCTCAATTGTGTATATTTCAAACGGTTATTACGAATAGGAGAATTATCTTTATAAACGGGGCTTAAATACGTTGCATTGTATTATCCGCTACGTTGAAATTTGTATTGAAATTTTGTTCAAACTGTTACCGCCTTTATTCCTTTTCAATTAAAGGCATTTCTGAAAGTGAACGGTTGTTACGAGAGAAAAGAAACAAAAGTTAGACAAAAATAAGAGAGACTTCTTTCTTTGGGGAATTAAGTCATCTTTTTGGTCAGAGGCAACTTTTTTTTACAGATCCGATACATTTTATTGTCCTCTATCTATGACTCGACAACTCTGCCGGTCCATTTTCTCGCGGAAAATTCGATTCGTCAACCAGACGAGGCACGCGAGTCTCGAAAACGAGAAACGGCGTGGCAAATTCGTTTTCCCCGGCCTCCGAAAACACAAAGACCTGGTGGAAATAAAGCTACGGCTGCGAATCCAATCCAATCCCCGAGTTCCTTTTTGTCGCCGCGTTGTGTACACGCTCTTCAGCGATCGGTCCTCGCGAGGAAATCTCTTTCCGCCGTTCAGCACGAATTTTCCGCCACTTCTGGCCTTGTAATTGAATTTTTTCACGGATAAAAATGATCGAAGCACTTTACAGTACTCTGTTGCGAACCGGTACATGGAAACGGTCCTTTAATCGCTGAGAATACAGTCTATGGTGATTTCTGACATAGATGAGAAACTAACAAGTATAAAATAGTTCGTATAGACACCACCAGGTTCGCTCCTAACCACTTTTCTGTGTATAAAGATAGTTTGGTTCACTTTTTGTCAAGGTAATCGTTAGAAATGCGCCTTTATCCGTCAGAAATGTGGTATACGGTATTGTCAGACTTGGATAAACAATATCACAATAAAAAATAATTTTCTCAGTAGCCACTTGAGCAGAAAAAATACTGCCGAGTAATTTATCGAGAGTAAGAAGTATTCAAAGCTAGTTTTCATGAAATATCAGATGAGAAAAGATCGTTATTCGACAAGAATACAATCCACGGTACTACTAGACATAGACAGGGAACTTTCATATGAAAAATAATCGCCTTACTGGCCGCCAGGGGCGCTGCAAGCCGCGTAACGTCATAAATCGCTCATCGAGGAGCTGGAACGCAGCGATCCTCTGGCAACGGGTCTGGATTAACTCCCCGCTGTTGCACGGGGTCAAACAGGCTTGTCTGGCCAGCGAGGAATGCTCGGTAGGGTGAGAACTGATAAATAGACGGCGATTACAGGCCCCGCCCGTTCTGACCACGTATCGAAACGGGATTCCACTGTGAGAAATTGCGTCTGAATTAACGGGGGACTCTAAATAGACCCTCTACAATCCGCACAATACCCCGGGCACCAGTCGTTGAATTTTTCCTCTGAAAAAGAAAAATTCTACGGAATCAACGTGACAAAACATTTCGACGAATTACTAGAGCAAACACAGGACATTCTACATCGTACACTCTTGCTTCTGTCGACCTGGAAATATCGAGTTTCACTCTAGACAACACCTCCTCTTGTTCTCCCGCGGAGCATGAGTTTTTAAACGAACTCCGGGTATATTTACCCGACGACAAGTGTTTCACGGTGCTCAAAGGATCAGTTCAAACCGCGCTCCCCCATCGATCCTCTAATTTCTACGCGCTCCATGGTTTCCCTGCCTCTTAATGAAAGCCCAGGAAGTCTCGAAAGTTTCTCCTTGCTGTTCCAAAGGCATTAGACGCCTGACTGGTTCGCCTGTGCACCAGAAAAGACGATTACTCCATGACGTTGCTGACTGTTGAGTAGATAGAACGTGTCTCGTTTGCACATCTCGCTAACTGTGTCTCCTCCTATTCTTCATTCGCACGGTTCGACACATTTTCTTCTGATCGCAGGTCACCAGTGGCTGAAGACCAACCTGGACGTGGTCCCGGAGTCTGGCTGGTCTGTGGACCCGTTTGGTCACGGGGGCACGATACCGTACTTCCTTAAAGCATCTGGTGCTTCTGGTACGGTGATCCAGAGGATACACTACGCCTGGAAGCAATGGTTCGCCAAGAAACAGTACGGTGACTTCATTTGGATGCAGCCCTGGGATCAAACCGGTCAGGCTGACATGCTGACACACAATCAACCATTCGACATCTACAACATCAAGCACTCATGCGGACCTCATCCTCACGTTTGCCTAAACTTCGACTTCAGGAAGATTCGCGGAGAGTACACCGAGTACTCGGTCAGAGCTGTGGAGATCACGCCAAACAACGTCAAACAAATGGCTGAGCTGCTTTTGGAACAGTACTCCAGGACTGGCTCGCTGTTCACGCACAATGTCGTACTTATGCCGCTTGGTGACGACTTCAGGTAAGGATTTCTAGACTTTTTTCGGTTAAAATCTAATTCGCCAAATCGGGGCTAGCTCGCGTCATATTCAATGAACCGCGTTGTAAGGCTAAATTCAGTGTAGATTTCTTCAAGTCTCTCATCCCTCGTTTAAAATTTTGTTTCGCTACTTTTATGCAGTACGTTCACTTATAAAAAATCGTCCTACCAAGCCTTACGTTGTTAACAAACACCACATCGCCACATCAGTGATCCTCTCTCTGCTTCAGATACGACCACGCGATCGAATGGGACCAACAGTACACCAACTACAAGATCCTGATGGACTACATCAACAGCAGAAAGGAAGAGTACAACGCGGAGATAGCGTTCGGCACGCCCAAGGACTACTTTCAGGAGATCAAAAAGCGCGTGGAGGAGTTTCCAACGTTGAAGGGCGACTTCTTCGTCTACTCCGACATCTTCAGCGAAGGAAGACCCGCCTATTGGAGCGGCTACTTCACCACCAGGCCCTACATGAAGATCCTGGACCGTGAACTGGAGGCTAATCTCCGATCAGCTGAGATTCTCTACACCATAGCGTTGAACGTGGCGAAACAGTCGGGGAAGGACTTCATGCTCTACGAAACGTACTTCGAGAAGTTGGTGAAAGCCAGGAGGAACCTTGGTCTCTTCCAGCATCACGACGCTATCACCGGCACCTCCAAGTCTTTCGTGATGAAGGACTACGCTCTGAAATTGTTCGAATCCATCTCAGACACCACCAGCCTACAGAGCTTCGCCATTCAATCGCTGGCTGGGTCGGCCAGCAAACCGAATTCCGTTTACGTCCTGGCCGAATCCGATAGGGACAGCTACGAGAAGCTACCAAAGAAGATACCAATTGGAATCAACGGCCAGGAGACCAAGAAGATAGTCCTGTTCAATCCTCTGGCTCAGCCTAGGCAAGAAGTGATCAGTCTGAAAGTGACCTCTTACAAACTTAAAGTCCTGGATCCTCAGAAGAACCCTATTCCCTATCAGATAGCCCCAGTGATGAACGCCACAAGCATCACCCACGACGTCTACGTGCTTCTGTTCGTGGTCGAGCTGAAACCTCTAGCCATAGCCACTTATCATCTTCAACAGACTGACAAAGTGCCAATGGAGGCTATCTCCACAGTGTACTGCAGTAGGTGTGGCAAGGACAACGTGTTCCCCATCAAACCCATGCAAGTAGGCGATGTTCAGCTGGAGAATCAAAGGATGAAACTGTTGTTCGACGGTCAGACAGGTTTCTTGAAGAGGGTGACGAAGAAAGCCACTGGAAAGATCATGCAGTGCGCCATCCAGTTCGCTGCCTATCCATCCGCGCAGTTCCACAGCGGTGCCTACCTGTTCATGCCTGACCCTAACCTCAGAGACATCGACAAGGACGTGTTGGAGGCGTATACGCCTCATCAGAAGATCTACATCGTCAGCGGAAGTCTCAGTTCGCGGTTGACCGTTGAATATGGCAAGCTGCTGACCCATCACGTTGCCATTTATCACAGAGACGACGGTCTAGGGGAGGCGATCTACCTGAGGAACATAGTAGACTTCGAAACACCGCCGAAGAACAGAGAAACGGAGATGTTCATGCGCCTGCAGACTGACATACTGAACGGAGATCCTCCAGAGTTCTACACAGACCTGAACGGTCACCAGATGATCAAACGGACGAAGATAGAGAGGATTGGCATCGAGGGGAACTATTTCCCCATCACCACGATGGCCTACATAGAGGACACTAACCACAGGCTAACTCTGTTAGTGAATCACTGCCAAGGAGCGGCCAGCTATCAACCAGGATGGCTGGAGGTGATGTTAGACAGGAGAACTTTGTACGACGATTCGAGAGGGATGGGCGAGGGTCTTCTGGATAATCGTAGGACAGTCATCAAGCACTGGTTGCTCTTAGAAGACATCACTGGTGAGAAGGAGAAGTACTCGAAGCCGTCTCTGTTCGCCAATCACCTGAGCAACGCTCTCAACTATCCTGTGAACATCTTCGTGGTGGATGGGGCAGACGGTGACATAGCTATGGCTCCAGAGGTGCGTCTGCTCAGCCAGAGCTTCCCATGCGATCTACATCTGCTCAATCTGAGGACCAATCACGACCAGAAACTGCCACACTTCCCTGTCAACAGCGCCCTGATGGTGTTGCACAGACAGGGCTACAGTTGCTCCGTAGGAGTGGACGTTGCCTTGAAACACTGCCCTCTGACAGAGAGAATAGGCCAGGGTACGTCTTTCTTCAAACTGGCGAACCTGAACGTGACCAAGACCTCGCTGACAGGCACAAGGACTAAAGGAAGGCTGAAGGACGGTCTGCAGGAGGTCAGTCTGAAACCCATGGAGGTGGAGACGTTCAACGTGAACTTTGTCCAATGATCCTAAGCCCCATAGAAAAGCGTTTGCCTGCCTTCTTGGACAGGACACTGCCCTGGCAGATGCTACCTCTTCTTCGGGTCTTCGTGCAATCAAACGGAATCATACAGAGCTGGAACCGTGTTTTTCTCGCCAAATTTCTTTTCTCTACCTTCCGTTCTGACCACCTTACAGTGTACATAGACACGCCATGCTGACGTTCACCACGATTGCACCAGTGTACATACACACACACACACACCAGGACGCTCTGTTCCACGTTTTCAGTTCGATTAATACTGCATACACAGGCAGGAAGGGAGAGTCGTGTCCTCTGACTTCACCGAGCTTTCCCCTGCACCTTCTATCACTTCGATCGACATTAGGAACACGTAGCAACCAGAAACTCGCCGCTGAAGCCCCGTTTTCCAACTGCTCAAACGTTCAGACGTGTCTCTACGAGTCTATCCGAACGTATAGACCAGGCTGTTTGAAGGGTCCGCGGTTGAGACTGGGGCTTCACAGGCGTTCCAGAACAGACTGACGACACAATCAAACGATCAAAGTGCATTGTAATCTGTACAGTGGTTAGGGACTACGATAGCTAGAGGTGCAAGGGAAGAGCTTGGGTACTGGTAAACAGGGTGTTCCAATTAGCCTGATCATCTGAGCAGCATCGTAGTTCGAATCTATTGGTTCGTGAAAATTCAAATGAAATTTGTTGCTCGTGTATTATAGTACATACTCAAAAATATATTCGACGCGTATTTGTATTATTTTTGTTTTATCGATAATCGTTCATATGTAAGGGGTGAAAAAGATATTTCCTTCGATATCTCACAAGCTATTGGAATATAGAAATGATTGAAATTGAAAAATTCAGATATGCAAATAGGTTTTCTTTACTGTTTTTAAGGTCGGAACACTTTTTTCAGGTAATTACATAAATTTCTTGAAAATCATCGTGTGAAATTTCAACGATGCCCCTTGTTATCATAGCCTTGGAATCTTGGTAACCATAATTTTCTATCATTTCTGAGTCACCTTATGCAGGACAATAATATTTGCCCCACGAGAACAAGTGGCTCGTTCCAAGAATACCCGTCAGATTGTCAAGCTAAATGGACCACCGTGTTGAGAAGCTATAAATAATATATTATATTGTACATATCAAGCCAGGAACTTTACCTTAGACCGTATATTGTGATAGCGTGAGAAATATATGATAATGTAAATGGTATACACCTATTTTCATATGCAGAACAAAAGGTTTTTAAGGAAGGGACTCTATCTCTCTCTCTCTCTTCCTCCTTCCAGGCAAGAAAGAAAGAAAGAATATACGAGAAACAGACACGCTGATCAAAAAGTGTATCCGGTGACTTCCAGCGCTCTTCCAGTTCTAGCGAAGGACACGACCGTTTAGTTGAGCCTCGAACGGCTGGAAAGTACCTATTTTTTACTTTTGCTAAGCAAGCATCCGGCTGGAGAGACGGAAAGGTTCGATCATGCGTCCGATGTACGACAGACTCGTGTAAATAGTAGACTAATTAGCGTGAGGGAGGCGTCGTACGGGTTCCACGCGAGTCATGGTCACTTTCCCGGTGTCCATTCCGTAGAGGACAGGCTGTTTGAAACGTTCTCTTATCCGGACTGAATTATTCTCAGATTTCAGAGAATCCTGAATCGGTGCCTGAAAATGGGGTCCTCTAGTCTGTCGCGAGATACAGTAGTGCACACATAAGCGTCCGCAGTCGGGACCGAATGCGGACGCTTAAGTGGGGAGGTGACTTCTGCGAATTTAACCAAACGAAAGAGTGGGATACCGACATATCAAGTGTCAGTTGTTCGCATTCTGGAGTCGATGTCGAATTACTTTGTTTCACACGGCACGCTCGAACTCCACTCCGATCTCCCATTTCCAAGAATTGCTGGGGATAGCGACGGACGCTTAAGGGGGTATTCTAGTCTAGAGTGTCATTTTTCAGTCCTTCTTAGGGATTTTTTTGTAAGGAAAGTATAAGTTTCTCGGTATCGGCATTTTGCATACATATTTATTCATGTTTTAAGAAAGTTCACAATTTTTTTCAAGTGAAAATAATCAAAGCTGTCTGAATTACATATCATTCAGCGCGGTCCCTTTAAAAAAAAAGTGTCCTACCGGCTGACACGATTCCGCCCATTCTGTTTTTCCGAAATGAAAAAATCCAAAGGATTCTTGATTAGTACGATTGTGACTATGGTGTGAACCAGAATGAACAAAAAATAGTGAAAATTTACAAAATGGTGCCACTTTGAATTTCGAATATCGATTTCTTTGACTTTTTTTCGCCTTTCAGAGGCTATAAAATTCAGAAAAATATATATTTTGACATAATTCTGGTTCGGACGATAACGACACATCCACTCAAGGTGCATGTCAAATTTCGAGTCAATCGGACAACTAGAACTTGAGATATCATGTCGGCCATTTAGAGAAACATGGTTTCGAGAAAAACGCGTTTAAAGCTTCTCATACCAGTTACACGAGAATGGTATACTTACGACTATGGACTACATGTCGTCTTCTTTAACCATCTATAACTTCGTCAATTTTACGAATTCGGAAAAATTCTTCCACAGTTATACTTCTGCAAATGTCTACTTTCGGAAAATGTAAAAAAAATCGATTATTTCGAAAAGTCTAAACTAGAGTACCCCCTTAAGTGTGCAAAAATGCGGACGCTTATGCGTGCGCTGCTGTACTTTGTTTTAATCGGAAAAATTTATTTTAACATTGTTGACTTGATGTTTAATGGTGGATTAGAAAAATCATTGATGAGAAATTTTACAAATAAGTCGTCTCAAACTACCGAGAAGAGAAATGAAAATGAACTTGGTTTATTGTAATCATGGAGGATTACGGGAGGTCAGTTCGACCAGTATTCAAAGAAGAATTAGGATTTCAATTTCCAACGTTCTCCAAGGAGATTTCTGTTAGCAATTAAGCCGAGCTTATCGGCTGGAATCGTCAGAAAAGGGAAACAGTTGTAAAACTCCAGCATTTTTCTACGTCTTTTTAAAATGATACATTTCCGAGACAATTCGAGCATCGGAGAAATTGATGAAAAACTTTTCCAATACCATTCCTCCTTTGTAAATATTTATCGCCCGTATTTCACAATTGAAGTGTCTGAAGCCCTTTCGAACAAATATTTTCAGTCCTCGAACTGGCTAAAAAGAAGAAAGAAGAAAGTAAGGTAACCTATGGTTCTACTTAGATGTATTAGCTGCCACGGGACTCGCGTTGGAACACAGAGAAAACGATCGCCGGAAATCCACGACTGTCCTTGTAACGATATTGTAACATACTACGTGTTTGTGCTGTCTCTAGAGAAGAAAGATCTATATTAAAGATGGTATATGTATACATACGTGTGCACACGTGTCTGTGTGTCGAGTGCACGTATATAGAGATATATTTGCGGAACTGCTCGGGCTGGCTGCAGAAGAAATTAGCTTTGCGGACGGTCCAGCAGGCGTCAAGAGGACAATTACACACCACGATATTCCTTATGTTACGATGTAATATTATATTTATTGAATAAAAGATAGTAACTGACGTATTTTAATTAAGAGAATGCCTATAGCTGGCTTCTAATCCCCTATACTCCTAACCAAGCCTTAAATTCCTCTCTGTTTCACTTAAAAATAGAAAGGTAGTTGTTTAACCAACAGGGGTTTATGGCACGGATTCCAAGCGACCTTACTTTTGAGAAGTTTTTCTACAAGTTTTTTGATAACAATAGCCTTTTCAAGCCAGAGGGCAAATCCGGCTTATTACCTGATGGCCACGGAAAATCTCCACTTCTGCGGGCCACATGATAAGTCGGTACTTGCCTCGGCGCGCTCAGTAACGGTAAACATACCATAAACCCGCAAAGTCGACGTTTCGACAAGATCGCCTCGCGGGACTGACATCCCTTTTGGGACCGTCTCTCCCTCTCTGCCAATGCCCTACTCTGCGGACCACTGGGGAGTGCACGAGGGCCTAGGAGAGCGGCTCTAGGGGGTGAAAGGCCCATGATTTGCCAACAAGATAAACTCTCCATTTTGACGAAAAGAGATATATACAGCCAGTTCACGAAATTCGAAACAATCGACATCACTTTGAGCGCTCTAACACGCAATACTCGACATCTTGATACACCAGTGCGGTCCAGTCCGTAATAATCGACATCAGCGGAAACAGCGTGGTTTATACTTAACGTAGACATTTACTTCTTCTTTTATTCCTTTATCCTTGTTAATAAATTATTATTATTATTTTAAATACACTTTCATAGCCTGCGTTATATGTCCGACAAAATCCCACATATAGAACGTTCTGTCCAAATGAAACATGGACTTTTGTTAGTACAGTTTGACTTTTTCAATTATCTCAGAATCCATGAACCGGCGACGGCGAAAAACGAACGACGATACACCATGATCTGACCGGTGAATCTGGCCAGTGAAAGCATGATGGCAAAGCAATGAAGCGACGGACATTTGTCGAGTATCTGGGCTAAGCTTTAATCGATACGATTCCTTGACATGATTCTCATTAACGAGAACGAGCACGATACCAGCTGATGCGCTGATAAACGCCATTACGGCGGTTCTTTTACTCGAGCCCTCGTGGCAGGCTGAGAACAAAGAGGTTAAGAGTGTCGTCGACACCGGGCACAAGAAGAATTCATTTGCATTTCTTTCGACTTTACGCTGTAGGAGCTGAGGAATGTCAGCTGAATGAGCAAAGTTCGAGCCTCTGATCCTAACACTTGGTGTAATCAAAGAAAAAAAATGACCAAAGGGTCAAATGGATCTTTGTTAATTCTTATTATTCGTTCAGATAGATCTGTTGGACCTTGCATACAGGGTTTAAAATAATTCTGAGAGTGTCTGCTGAAGGATCTAACAGTTCGATTAGGGACCCCCTTCTTCTACCTGGCGGTAGAAAAAAATATTTAGACGGAGACAAGTTGCTTCAATATTGTAATATAAATTCAGATACACTTCTATATTTCCGAGAGAGAATTCTGTGGAGTTTAGAGGAAACCAGACCCGAAAACCCCTGCACGACATCTTTTCAGCACCGCGGTATTCTTCCTGCGATCCCACGTGACCCGATTCAGACAGAAAGTGACGGATCGTGTTCCCAAGATCCTCAACTTTGTATATGCGAGATAGAATTCGGATCTGTGGACTTTGGAGGCAACCAGACCCGAAGTACTCGGCCGGTGCACAAGCCAGCACCGCGTATTCTTGCTTAAATTCCTCCGTTCCGCGATCCCATGTGACCCGATTCGGACAGAAAGTGACGGATCGTGTTCCCAAGATCCTCAACTTTGTATATGCGAGATAGAATTCGGATCTGTGGACTTTGGAGGCAACCAGACCCGAAGTACTCGGCCGGTGCACAAGCCAGCACCGCGTATTCTTGCTTAAATTCCTCCGTTCCGCGATCCCATGTGACCCGATTCGGACAGAAAGTGACGGATCGTGTTCCCAAGATCCTCAACTT